TAAAATCTTCTAACTGGAAGGCCCGGAGAAGTTGGGATAGGCCTGAGTTATCAAGGACTTTTGGAAAGCCTGTTGACATCAGACTCCCTGGGGAGTCTGTTCTAACTGAGAATTAGACCTTGAGGGACTCCAGGTTTTGCAGATTTGATACTGTCCCTGGATCTCCTATACTGAACTGTTTCCAAGTAATATGGATTTAATTCAACAAACAAAGAAAGCACCAGCAATATACTCAGCAATATCTTCAGAAATGTGAAGTTCCCAAGAAGTTCCCAGGAGACAAAGCAAACACTGGAAAAGAAGAGAAACATTAAGCCATTTAAGGCACTATATGGTTAAGCATCCAAATGACGCCGTCACGGTGAGTGCAAAATATGTCTCAGACAGTTGTCTTGCAAAATCTCTGAGGATGCAAAGGGGGATGTGGGCCTTAAAATTGTGGAGAGCTGCTCTGCCCTGGAAAAGTAGGGTAACAAGAGACAACCAGCTAACTCACTGTCATTTCTAGAGGAAGGATCAGGTCATGAGCTGGGGTTGGGGATGGAAATGAAGGATGTAAGAATAGTCAAGTGATGGGTTGGGGAAATGGTACCAAGAGAGTCCCATTAACATAGTGCTTCAAAGACACAGAAGATTAAACTTCAAGTGGCCATGCATGTGCGCACGCGTGTGTGTGTGTTGGTTGGTCAGGGGCAGGGCATTTGAATGTCATAAGTGCTGTCTCCTCCAGAGCTGAGTAGATGAACGATGTTGTAGGTCCATGAGTGGGGACTGTGGCACACTGTTTGAACTGTGGTCTCTAAAGTCACACAGAACTGGGATCAAAGCCTGGCTGTGCCCTTCATAAACATCACCCTTGATGTTGGGCAGGCTGTTTAACCTCCATGAGACTCAGTCTCTTCAAAGAGGGTGGAGCTGGTAATAGTGCCTTCTTAGAATTGTGATGAAGACTTACCGCCCTGACCCAGAGAAAGAGGCTGTGCAATCTGCAGCGTATAGAAAGTGCTTAGTAAATGAACACATCCTCAGGTGTAGTGGTTAAACTTTCTTGTGAAGTAACTAGTCTGTGTAAAAAGGGAGGTTTGGCTTATGTAAATGGGGTGTCAGAGGAGAGAAATGGCTTTCAAGTATGGATCCAGAAGTTTAACAATACCTACAGGTCTCTATCTCTCTCTCTCCCTCTCTCTCTCTCCCCCCCCACCTCTGTCCCTCTCTCAATCTCTCTCCCTCTTTCCTATTTTCCTCTTTCTCCCTCTTCATCTTCTCTGACTTCTGGCATGGGCCTCCTTATCAGCCAAACATTTTATACATAGTAGTGAAAATGTTCTCTGTCATCTCCAGATATATCTGGTCCATAGTACATACTTTTTTAAAGTTTTACTTTTATCACATGCACCTGATTTAAAGGATCAGCTAGCTCTAAGGGGGGTACTTCTGTGAAAAATACACTTCCTACCTCCTGTTCCATTTCCTATCTCAGAGTCATCCCTTTCAGACTTTTTGGCTGATTGTCTATTTATCTCTCAAGAACATGATTGGTTTTGCTTTTTTATTTTTCAGAATTATAGCATGATTTTTTCTGTACAAATTAGACAATTCACCCCACTACAGAAATGCACTATTTCCAAAATCTAGCTCCCAATTTAGTTAAATTACCCTTTGTTTAGATCATTGTTCAATAATTACATTACTGTAACTGTGCAAATGATACTCTCTGCTGAGTCAAGTGGTTAACTGTGATTACTTTTGTTTCTTACATAACTTTGTTTAATTGGAACAAATGTCTTTTGCTGTACTTTTGCTTTTCTTTTTCTTTACTTTTCTGTAGAGTTGTCACTAAGTCAACCCCAAATTCTCCCATTGTCTAATTCTTCTCTCAAGATATGCAGATATTCTAAGGCTTTCATTTTCTTACAGAAATCTCTCCCAGAATCATCTAGCTACACCAGTCTGGACTTTTTGCCCTTCAGGCCAGGTGTGCACATCTCACTGGGGATCGCTTCTTACCATCCGTCATCCTGGGAAGTTTCTTGCTTTGTCTCCTGTATTGATCTCCTGTTACATGTATCTCACGTTTTCTTTATAGGTGCATATTCTTACTTTTGGTGGAGCATATCCTGAAATGCTTCCTGACAAAGCGTGTAGGGGAAATATAATTTGGAGATCTTACATATCTGAAAATGTTTATTATAGTCTGCCACTTAAGGGATAGTTTGGTTGGGAATAAATTCTAGGTTAGATATCATTTTTCTGCAGAATTTTGAAGGCATTGCTCTATTCTCTTCCAACCTCTTACATTATTTTTGAGAATTCCAAAATATTTCTGGTGTCTGAATCTTTGTAGGTAATTTGGAGGTTGTAAGATGCAATGCTGAAATTTTATGATGATGTATCTTAATATGGGTCAAATTGACCTGTAGTGCCAGGCACTTGATGAGTCTCTTCCTTCCCAAAAGTCAGTATCTTCTGTTATGGAAAATGTTCTCGAATTTCTTTATTGATGATTCCCTCTCCTCTCTTTTTTTTTTTTTTCCATTTTCTTTTCTAGAATCCCTATTATTTATATGTTGGAACTACTGGATGGGTGCTATTCTTTAATTATTTTAGTTTTTCTCCTTAGCTTTTCTTCTGTAATGTCTGGGAGATTTATGCAACCCTATCTTTCAATCCTTCTACTGAATTTTTTTTAATAGTTTTAATTTTCTTGAGCTGCTTTTTGTCCTCTAAATGATTTGCTTTATATAGCTTTCTTTTCTTATTTGATAGATACAATACTTCCTCTTCTCTCTGGGAGAATATTAGTGATTTGGTTTTTTTTTAAGTTTTCTTCTCTTGCATTCTCTCCTGTTTCTTTCAAGTTACTTTTACTTCATGTTTATCTTTCAGGATAAAACACTGTTGCTGTGGACTTCTCTCCCATTTTCTTTGTTCTTACCAGTTCTGCCTTAATGAATATCTTGTACTCATTTCAGTTGCATCTCTGAATTGTCTGTTTACATTAAGAATGGGCGCTAAAACATCCATAAATTTGTGTGTGTGTGTGTGTTAGTGGGTACTGTCAGATCTGGACTTTAGTGGATTTCACTTGCCTGGGCTGCTTTTATGTGGGAACCCTGATGTCTGTATCTCTAGGTTTTTCATCTTGAGCTGGGCAGATTCCCCGGAGAAGGTGTTCCATTCTCTTGTCTTGAGGATAAAGACCGGTCTCACAGTGTGCAGGAGCTGTGCCAAGAAAGAGACCCATGGGCCTCAGTCCCGAGTGTAACACTTGTTCAACCTTTGTTTTCAGAAAAGTAACCCCTTAACACCACTACACCTGATTCCCTTGGTCAGGAGACACTCTGCTTTACCGTTTCCGTAGAATAGACCTATAGTCCTCTGCTGGGGCAGAAGTTGTTTGGACATGGGAAGTGGAGCGAGGATGTGGGATTGAATTGAGTCATGTCTTAAACTTCCAGCTGATCCTCTTCTTTTTAGTGCCACCTTCACCACATCCCAAAGCAACTGGTCCCATGAAGACTTAAGAGGGTTAATGGTCTGTTACTAAACTATTTTAATTAGAACCTTTCTCAGGATCTACTTGGTCAATTGCTCATCACTCAACAAAACACTTGCTGTCATCCTCTCTTCCATTCTTTTTGTTCTTATGTGTTTATTTTAGCTGGGTTTAAAGAGACACCAAAAGTAAATGTGTGTGTTCGTTTTTGGTGTTCTTAGAGCTCTTTATCTCCCAACCTCCAAGTGATATCCCCAAAAAGACTATGATAAATATGTTGGATCACATGCCCCAGCTCCCAACTTGGCACTAATCCCTGTGACCTTTGTTCTCTTGAGAATCTGGGTCACCTGCTTTTCCTCATGGTAGACAAAGGGTGACTATATGATCGACAACTATATGAGAATCATACCAAGCAGCAGTTTCCTAAAGAAAGGGATGTAGCACTGACAGCCAGGTAACAAATGTCCCAGACACAGGGCAGCTTTGTCCTCCAAAAGGTGCTGATCTTGAGGAAGCAAGGATTTCCCTCGGTTGCTTTGTATTCAAAAAATGTTGGCTCCATCTCAGAAACACTAGTTATCCAAGCAGAAAGCACCTCCCTTGATGTTTTTCTCCATTGTAAGCTTCAGCAACATCTATTCACACTTAGCACTCCTGAATCAATTTATTAATGTGGATGCCCATTGGTTTGCAAGGGCAGCAGAGGTTTCCTGGAGAAATTCTATGCCCTGGAGTGAAAAAGGAGGCCATGGCAGGCAGCCTTTTCGGGACTCTGGGCCTGGACCTGGGTATGCACATGGGAAGGGATAGGTGCAGTGCCTTTCCTTTATTTGAGTGACCAGTGACAAAGGGACATGATACTTGTTTCCCTGCTTTCACTTCAGAAGTCCTAAAGTAGGGAAATCCATTGTGGAAAACTTAAATAATCTGTGTGCATTGTGAGGGTAGATGTTCTTTATTCTTGTAAGTATTTTGTGTTCGTCTCTGGAACATGATGCTGGACATTCAAAGAAATAATGCCATCCTGTTTAAGTGTTAAACTCTAAGCGAAACAGACTTGTGGTTTCTTTTGAGACCTCTAGCTATCTATGTCACAATGACACAGTTTAGAAGACAGTGCTTTTGAAGGACATTTTTAATGGCAAACTTAAATGAAGTCAATCCTTGGTAGCTCAGTGACAATGCCTGTGCATCATTGGCCTTTTCCAACTTAACAAGAACAAAAAAAGAACCAATTAGTCACATATGATGAGATGTGATGACATTTTTACTCCTGAACTTTTCTGGTATAAAAGGGTCACCCAAGGAGGATCTGACAGTAAGTGTGAGGAATTTGGCAATAAAACGACCAGTCTGCAGAAATTTTGGAAAATCCAAAATGATTAGGTGAAAGACTGCTTTTTCCACAAAGAAAACTGTTGAGTTCATATATGCTTTTTTTTTACTTATACTTGCCTAAATGAGACTAATCTTAGGTTTTTTTTTTCCCCCTACCCTACAGCTCATTAAAATTCAGCCTTATTCTACTTCTGTTGATTTCTATAATGCACGTGTTCTGGTGTTATCCAGTTCCACCTTCTAAGGTAAGAGTTTTGCCTCTATTTTTGATGCTTGACTAGATGGCTTTTAAGTGTTTAAGTTCAAAGTAATCTCAGGGAATATGGGACAGAAAAGTAATTTCTCTTATTATTAGAGCTTTCAATGAAAAAAAATAAGCAGAGTCAAGAAATTAGTAAAAAGAAGTGTTTATGTGACAAAAATAATGCTAGACTTATTAAAATTTGTTTTAAATTATTTAAGAATTGGCTCCTGCATAGAAAAGCATGCATTTCAATGTAAAATGTACATAGTTTTGCCCATGACAATTTATTTATTCCACATGTCCACTCATGATCAAAGTGAACATTTAACCATTAAAACTATATTACAAATACAATAGATCAGTTTTTTAGAATAGTGAATTTACTAATTTTATAAAAATGGTAACTTTTTCAGAAACAGAATGTAGATAAAATGCCATATCTCAATGAAATATCACATAAAATATTAATTCATGTGTTTATTCAAGAATGTTGATTGTCTAATGTTAATCATTGAACTGTTCAAAACATTCAGAAAATGAACGTCTTTCTTTGGAATTTTTAATACTATTTCTACATGATATTTCAGTTGCTTTAATGTCAATGCTTTGTTTAAAATTTTAAAATATTTTTCATCACTGATAATGTTTTGTATTCACTGAAACTTAACCTGGCATACTGTAATTACTGAATCAATGTAATTCATGAAACTACTTTTAGGATAATGAGATGCTACATAAATCCTAAATAATAGATATATGTCCAAACATAATGATCTAGCTGTTTATATTATTGGTCTTCTTACTAATCTTTGCATCTGTCATTTTTCTATTACTTGTTTACTTAAATTAGCTTCTTTTTTCCTGATTTAGTCCTATGAGCATTCAACACTAATTGAGTCATTGATTCTATAAGACACCAACCATATTGATCAAGTTGATGAGTCACAACCCATAAATTGGTATCTTTTCTCAAGTGTCTTCCTAACTACTTTCCATTCTTTTCCTGAAGGTTTGTTCATGACATTTCTGTTGAACAAGAGGCATTTGTGTGCGGCTTTTTTTTTTTTAATTAAGAATGTACTTTCTTCTAATGTACTTACAAATCTGTTTGTCCATAAATGAAATGTTTCTTCTTTCCATGCATTTTCCATATTTCTATTTTTGCATGTGACAATTTCATTCTCATTATAACTCAATCATGTAGCAATGGTACCAATTTGACTGTTTAAGGTGAGTAATTACACACAAACAATGTATAGGTTCATGTAATATTTGATGTGAACTTCATAAAGTACATCAACTAGGCAAGTATACCATATTATTCTGTTAACAAGTCAGCTCTGGCAAGGACTCCCTTCAGTGATCAGTAAAGTACATCAGTATTTTTTTAGGGATGTTTTCAGCATCTTATAACCAGAAATGATGCATTTCTTTTGCAATACAAAGGTGGTATCATGAGTATTTCTGGAAAGAACTGGAATGCTTCCCTTCCTGAAATGACTCATAGGCCCCTCCTTGCTGGGGATTTAAAATAGATGGCATTATATCATGCTTAGATTTCCTCCATTTACATGGGGAAAAACACATAGTGGGCGTTCAAATAAGAGTTTTTGATTGGTTTCCCATGACCAATATTTCTGAAACTCTGTCTGACTGTTCCCAGGTCTGTAGTATGTTTCTTTCCCTATAATAAAACCGTTCAGCACCCTTTTCTTTTTATTGCTCTCATGTGGTTGAGAAATGGGCTTGGAGTCAGGTGTTTCCACTCAAATCCCTGCTTCACCTACAAGCCATTTTTTAAAAAAGATTTTATTTATTCATTTGAGAGAGAGAGAGAGAAAGCGAGAGACAGAGCACAAGCAGGGGGAGGGGTAGGGGGAGAGGGAGAAGCAGACGCCCTGCTGAGCAGGGAGCCCAATGCCTGGCTCGATCCCAGGACCCCGGGATCATGACCTGAGCTGAAGGCAGGTACTCAACCAACTGAGCCACCCAGGTGCCCAACCTACAGGCCATTTAATTTCCTCATTTATATGCAACTAATGAATCATTGAACACTACATCAAAAACTAATGATGTACTGTAGAGTGGCTAACTGAACATAAAAAATAAATAAATGTATTTCTTATTAATGAAAAAAATAAAACTGAGAAAATGATAATACACTTTATACATAGAGCTTTCTGAGGGGATAAAATGAGGTGATGCACATAAAGGATTTACCACAAAGAAGATCATTGATAAATTTTTGCTCCATTTATCGATAGAACTTGCAGTTGTACCTCATCAGTGTGTACATCCTCTGAAACCACAAAGGAGGGAATGTAGGACAAATGTTGAAAATTCTTACTTGATCTCTGGGTCAGGCCCACTTTTTGGAACTGCCAGCCCTGTTCCTTGGGACATGGCCCTTTGCTTTTTACTTGGTTCCTTTATCTGGAACGTATGGGGTTGAACTGCATATACTCGATGGCCAATTTGAACTCTTGATTCCAGACATGTACTTCCTTCAAGACTAAGTACCCCCACACTATCCAGGCCTTCAAACCACTGATGAGAAACTGAACCAAAGTCAAAAGATGAAGATGCTGTTGTTCAAGTAGCAAGATAGCCTTATGGAAAACCTTGGTAAATGACCCAGGACAAATATCAGAGGGAAAGTGTTTCCAACTGAACCCTGAAGTTTGGTTATCATGCATTGGTTTTCTTAGTGATTTTTTTAAAAACTTTCTAGGACTAATTAGTGCCACTTGAAAGATTCTTTATAAAGTAATAGCAACAAGAGGACTATGTATGGTGTATGATGCAAATCCCAAATGACAGCAATTACGTAAGTAGTATAAAAATTAGATGAGAGAGTAGATAGCGCTAAACAATATTTTGTATTTAAATAAAGTATATGTTGTGTTCTAGCAAAATTTCTCCCTCAGAAAGGTTGGAGACATTGGATTTATAGCCTTAAGATTTTGAAAATTGTTACTATTGAAATAAACTTTTCATCCTAAAGCTGTATTCTCTCCCTCTTCCCCCCTCTGAATTGCCAGGTGTCTGGAAAATCTGATTACTTTCTCATCCTGTTGAACAGCTGCCCAACCAGGATGGACAGGAGCAAGGGACTAGATTTTCTAAAGCCCATTTTTGAGAAGATGTTTATGAAAAAGTCCTTTCGCAATGGAGTTGGCACAGGGATGAAAAAAACTTCCTTTCGAAGAGCAAAATCATGAATAAGTTTGCAAAGGACTCTGGGAATTAATCTCAAACTTTGTAGAGTGTGACTAATGTGCTAAAAGTCAGTTATTTCTTTATCATTAAGCATTGGTGTGCTCTCATTTCTTAAATATCATTTCTCTCTGAGCTGGTAGAGAGTAAATTGAGTTTAAAAAAAAATGTAAACCTGCCTCAAACTTCCCTTTCAAGAGAATAAACTATTTATGTGATCAGTTAGCAACTTCCCTCGCTAAGGATGGACACATTTGCTTTGATCTTGAATTGTCCAGAAAGTGTGAGCATTTTTTTACTGTAAGGACAATGGTATGATTTCTTTCCTGCCTGTAATACTGTAATCTCGTAATACTGCTTTCTTTTTCTTTTAAATACCGCATTCTGAAATGACTCAACACGGCCAATTCTTTTGAGATGTGCTATTTCAGCTTCTAAGAGAGTCTTGTGAGATTAGCCAAAGTTAAGATTTATGCTACCAGTGTATTTTCCTCACTCAATTGATTGATACCAGAAACAAACATCACCAGTACCCTCTGGGAGTAATTCTTGCTGTTCTTTCCCACAAATATACTTGGACACGGATTTTTGTTTTGTCTTGGAAGTTTGTTGTTTCCTTTTATCTTAAAACACAGAAACACTGCTGGTAACAATAATGACAACAGAGAGACTGCTAGTTGCTTGCGGTGTGGGGGAGCACTTTGTGAGCCGGTTCTCCCAAGTTGTGCTGATTAATGCCCCACTCCTTCCCTCTCCAGGGAAGACCTGGACTTTCCTTCCACTGAAACTCCTGACATTCCTTTTTTTTTTTTTTTTTTTTTAAGTAGGCTCCATGCCCAGTGTGGAGCCCAACATGGGGCTTGAACCCACAACCCCAAGATCAAGATCTGAGTTGAGATCAAGAGTCTGATGCTTAACCGACTAAGCCACCCAGGTGCCCCCTGACATTACCTCTTTTAAAAGGATAATGCAACATTGGTTGATGGGTTATTTCTTCAAAGGCCTAACTTTAATAAATGTGTATGTTCATGTCTGATTCTGCAACACGCTTAGGGCATTCTGACCACGAAAATCATTATGTTTTCCACTTCATTCTATGTGTATAGACACAGATGAGGTGAAAAAGTCCTCATGCACTTAAAAAAAAAATGGGCTAGGGACCCTCATGTCCTTTTGCTTTCTATCCCTATGGTCCTGGCCTTTGTTCCTATGGGGACAGCTTTAGAAATCTAACCAGCTGCCAGCCGCAGCTCCACCCTTCCTACCTGCTATGACCAAACTTCTTTAGGAGCACCTGGAAATGCGGCGAAGGAATTTATCTGTTTGTTAGGTCCTGTCTGCTCACAGGCTCTGTAGCACCATGAGGCCTAACAGGTGAGATGCAAAGTACTTCCAATAAACTGGAAATTCCAACAGCAGATTGTCAAGGAATCTAGTATCTTTTTTTTATCTGCCTGGCATTATTGGCAAGGAGGCTAACTACCTAGCCCAATAGGTGTTATTTGCTCCTGTGAAGTTGAAAAATAGTTGCTGCCTTAATATGCTCCCGGTCAGTGCGGTGTCCATTGAGTATCTTGTGTAGGGAGGAGATTATCGTTGCAAAGAAATCTTCCAGATTTTCTATCTGCGTTTATATGGATTAGTTGGAGTAATAAAACACTAAAAACATAATTGGAAAATTTTTTTCTTACTTCTGGATTCTAAAATATCATTCTAACCTCAGGGGGAAAAAGGCCTATGGAAAAGTAGTGGCACTCTAAAAACTGTATTAGACAAAAAACTGGCAGTAGGGAAATTTACTTTCTGATAAGAAATTGCACCTCTTGCTAAGATTTTAGGAAGAAAGTGTTTAAGATGAAAAGTACTTCCAAGTCGTGTTTGGATAGTGTCATTAGAGAGGTGACCAAAGGCTAACCCTGTCAACCTTGGGGAAAGCGAACCCTAAGCCAGTGTGGAAACCATGTGGCCGGGGGACTGTATTCAGTCCTTGACACAGTTTCTGCAGGGCCCTGAGCCTGCCTGCTCCCAAGGCTGCAGGGAGAATGGCCTTGAGCGGCGGGAGGTGGAGATGAGTTGGCCGCCAGATGTTACGACTGTTTGCCCTTTCCCTGTCATCTGGGAGTGTTGATGGAGGCCTGAATTTCACCTTTAGAGTCAGCTGCCTCAGACAAGGCTTTGGAAGCCCTCAGAATGCATACATCCCAAGGGACGAGTAGCGCCATGAGTTCGTTCTGGTCAGCTGTACCTTAACCTGCTTAGGTTTCATTTCTTACCTGGAGAGAGTTTTTTTGAAAGAGAAGGAAAAGAACTCGTGAGGCCCATGGTCACCTGGAGGGAGAATGCAGGTATGGAGCACGTGTGCACAAAGCAGGACTGGGCAGGATGCCACAGACCCATGGGCCACGTGGACCTGCTTGGATCCAATGCAGTGGTTACTCAGTTGCACAAACTTGCCTGAGCTTCTAGAATCTTTCTGAGCCCAAGTTTCGTCACCTATGAAATAGGGCTAGGAACACTGACCTTATAGGATTATTTATTTGCTTAGTCATTTGTTGATTCATTAACTTGACCAATATTTATTGAGCACCTAGTATATTCCAGGGAGAGCGTTCTAGGCAACTGGAATGCAATCATTAAGAAAACAAACCAAATTCCCGCTCTCATTGATCTTTTATTAAAGTGGGAGGGGAGTTAGAAAAAAATGATAGTTTTGTTAGATAGTGATAAATGATAAGGGGAAACAGCAGGAACGGGGAGAAGGGGGGTGGAGGGGTAGGAGTATCAGTATAATTTCAGATAGTGTTGTCAGGGAAGGTGTTGCTGAGGATGAGTAGTAAGAATTCCAAAATTTCTACAGTGGAGTGATCACGGAGAGGGTGGCGAATGGAACCAGATGGGTAGGAGATTTGTGCAGAGTCTTGTCAGAACTTTTGTTTTTCCTCTGAATGGCATGGAAAGCCTCTCAAGAGTTTTTAGCAGAGAAATGACATTATCGAATATATCTTTTAGCCATCATTAATTTGTAAGCATGAGAAATAAAATGCATACCTAAGAAGTCTCAATAATAGCGTCAGTAATTCTTTCTGTGATTGACACCCAGGAACTCAGGTTCCCTTCCTTCCCTGCCTGTTTCACAATTCTACCCTGGGAAATAATTACACTGTGAGCTGGAGCCTGTGGTTGGGCAAGGACCCTGGGAAGGCAGAGCTGTCACTCTCCAAGGAATCTTGATGAGAGATCCGATTCTCATCCCTTCAACTAAACTCATCTTGAAGGTGAAATTCTACTTTTATGTTTGAGTGAGGAGCATTTTGTTCTTACAAACATTTACTGAAAATTCCATAGAAGCCTCCCAAATTTTAAGGGAGGGATGCATGGGCGTGTGAATTTGTGGGTAGAAAACCCAAGCAAAGAAATACAAGAATTAAGGTTTCAACTCACATACATGAATTTTGGGATGCTAATCGCATTTTCTTTCTCCTGGCAATTTATCTCTAATGCAGAAACATTAAAAACCAAAAAATGATGTCTGCTACAAAATTTCCACTCCAGACACTTAGCCTCATTCATTTTTGAGCATTCCCAAGGAGGAGCAATATTTTAGGGAAGGAAAATCTGAAAACAATTGGATTCCATTTCCCACATACAGTAAGACCCAGAATACAGCAATTTGACTCAAAGTTCCATTTCTACGCTCAATATTCTCAACTCTTTCTCGCCTGTCAGACAATAACAGCAAAAAACAAAAATCCAGGTGGCTGCTCTCTGCCCCTCCTCTCTGGACTCATTTCTCTCTGCTAATTTTCATGTGGACTCATGTGTTAAGGTAGAGGTGGGTTTCACTGTCAATGGAAAATTATTGCTTTACTTCCTCTCTGTGACGAAAGATTGTTTTCTGGGTGGCCTGACAGCTCCTCTGAGCTGCCTGTGATTGACTGTGTGGCCCATACCTCCTCCTTTTCATGAGTGCTGTGCCCACTTTCAACTACCACCCTTCTGGGGTATGAAGCTTTCCTGAGCAGCTGACACTCCAGTTCAGTCTGTTTCTCCCTGACTAACAAATCCATTCTCCTGCTTGCCCTACAAAAAGTGAGACAGCTGCTAGGATCTCTCTTCTGGAGCACACACCGTGGTGGATCCAGCCGTGCAGGTGCAGGATGCCTCTCCATGGGATAACAAAGACCCACACCAGGTCCTGCAGGCATTGTCCAGCTGCTGAGCCTTCTGTTCCTGAGCTCGCCGTCTCTGGTGTGCTGTTGACACTGAGCCTGGGCCTTTTGGCTAACCCCTTCCTGGCTGACCTCTGCCCATCAACTGTTAAAGCTCTAGTTGAAGCAAACTTGCAAAAAAATAAAATCTAAAGAGATCTGTACTATGTGGGACTCAATGTGTGGTTGCAAACAGATTCCTCCACAGTAATAAACAAACTCCCACTTACCAGGTTTGGGGTGTTGCAAGTGCTTTCCATATACTGTCCCATTTACACCCTCCATAGCCCTGTGGTAAGACACTGGGATGTTGTTATTCCCATATATAGACAAGGAAACTGATCGTGATCTTTCTTATGGGGGATCAAGGTCAAATGCCTGGTAAATGGCAGGTTTGCCTTGCCCAGAAGATAATGTCAGGCAATGAATGGAAGAAAAGGAAAAGAGAAACCAGAGAAGGCATATGCAATTATTAATTTTATGTGGCAACTTGACTGGGCCACGGGGTGCTTAGATACTTGGCTAAACATTATTTCTGGGAGTGTCTGTTTCTGGCTGAGATTAGCATTTGAATCCTCAGACTAAGTAAAGCAGATTGCCCTACCCATGGTAGATGGGCTTCATCTAATCTGTTGAAACCCTGAATAGAATATAAGGCTGAAATAAGAAAAGAATTCTCTCTCTCTCTCTCTCTCTCTCTCTCTCTCCGCCTCACTGTCTTTGAGCTGGGACATCAAGTCTTCTGCTCTCAGACTCAGATCAGACTGGAACTTAAACCATGAGCTCTCCTGCTTCTC